TATTGGTCAATCAATTTATTCCACAAAACGAGCTTCATAGCAAGAAGCATCCTGAAATGAGTACAACTATTAGACATTGTAATGGCTTCAAAACCCAATCTGTTTTCGTTAGGGCTCCATGTAGTCCTTACCACAACAGCCTCCTGAGTGGAAGCTACACAGCAGCTACTGACATAAGAGAAAGAAAACCAAAGCCTCCACTGTGGCCTAAAGCACTTGCATTAGCACACCACAAAAGCTCCTACTACAGACTGAAAGGGACAGCGCTGGGAATTTTATGACAACTGAACACTATTCTCATTACCTACTGTGAAAAGCATGATATGTTGTGAAAATATTATACCCAGGTTTGCTCTTCAATGGAGCCATGCATTTCTCAGTGAGGTTCCTTTCAGACCGTTTAAAGAGTGCAAAAAAAAACCCCAAAACATTCGGTGACTCATTCAACAGTTCCAACATCCAGCTGACTTTAATCAATACTACCAAACCCTGTCCATTGTTGACCCATAACAACCTACTCTCTTCTACACCAATTACACGGGGTAAGTTGATATTCCCAGCTTTTAAATTTATAATATTCTAATTACATTTACCATTGAATTTGTCCATCACTAACAATATTCTAATAAAGGCCTCCATTCTATTAATAAGTACAAAAGATATACTTGCTTGTCGTTTCACTGTTCTGACAGCAAAACTAACACGAAAAAGATTATACACTAATATTATTTACACAATAAACAGCTCAGGTTGAAAGCTGGACACACAGAAATTCAAGGGAGGAAAATTACTTCATATGTGCAGGACACATATGAACATTTTTTTTTTTTTACTACTAAGAATTTTAAAGACAGGTAAAAAGACTCACTTGCCCAATTTGATGCAAGAGATGGATAGGGTCTCCCCTTTGGTAACAGCACAGCTTGTATGAGAGTTTTGCTGCTTCTTCATAATAAAAGCTGTAGCATAGTCCTATCACCATCATAATAAATACCACCTTCATAATAAAAGCAGTCCTATCACCTTCAGAAACTTCTCATGCTTTAAGTTAGAACTAGAGAGTCCTTCTCAGAAACACCTTACATCTAAAAACCTCGTTCACTCATCAGCAGAGCCAAGCCTCAAATCCTAAAGCATAAATTTACCCCACATCCTTTGGAACCGTGTTTCCTTTCTTCTTATAAAATACTCCCAATTTCCAACTTTCCACATCACTTTCAGAATTATTCAAATATCCCCCAGAAGTAAACAGGCTAATTCGAATGAGTTCAGTACTCACTGGTCCGCCAATAAACACCTACTAGAAGTACAGAGCTTCCAAGAGCTGGGTAGCAAAGGAAAGTCTAAGATACATCTCCTCTAATGAGGCTCATCATCTATGGTGAGTACAAAGGGAAGGCTTACATGCTTCACTACATCTAAAATAGTGAAGGGCATCATTTTACCAGTGGCACTCATGTTTTGTAAACTAAGAGCCAGTGAGCCAACAGACTATTTCTTACCAACCTGCAATAATGAGGTTGAGCTGCAGTCATCTAGAGAAAGAACCAAAAAAGTCAGATCCTTACCTTGGTTTTCATCTGGTCTTAGATTTGCTAAAGCAACAATGTGATGCCCCGCGGCAATGCACTGCATCATGTTGTAACAGCTGTCCTTCCCGCCGCTGAAAAACAAGCCAGGAGAGAGAAGGGTATGAATGTCAGGCTCCTGATCATCATTAAACACAGAATCACTGGACATCAAAATCGGTCACATCACTACTTTGCTTTTCAGGCTCCATGAGGGAATGTACCACAATTATAGTATAAGATGATATACATCTGTAAATAGGAAGAAAATTGAGCACATGAATCTGAATGTCTAAGGCTGCTACTTCTAAGAACTTAGAAAATTACATGTGTCTACAATATAGAAGTTCTAATCAAAGTATATTTGTAACAGTGGTTTTACATAAGATAAAAAGTGCTATGCACATAAAAACTTATTTAAAATTATATTCTATATCCTAGCTAAATGCTTATACCATATCTTCCTTGGATGAAAGTCCTTAATTAAAAAAAAATCTGGGGGGGGGCACAGAGATGGTTTGGTGGTCAGAGCACTGGCTCCTCTTTCAGAAGACCTGGCTTCAATTCCAAACACTCACATGAATGCTCACAACTATCTGTAACTCTAGTTCCAGGGAATCCAATACTATTATGTCCTCCATAAGCACCAGGTCAGCAAGTGGTGTGTAGATACACATGCATGTCAAACATCCATAAACATAAAGTAAAGCATTATTTAATCTGTTTCAACTACATGAAACCTAACTATGGTCTACCAATACCCATCAAAGGATGATATTAAAAATTTCAATCCAAACTGTGTAATAGAGCCTGATATGATTGATTCTAAAGTCTATACAATGAATATACAAATGCTGACACATATCAATAGTCAAACATTAGTATAATCAGTATGTCAGCCATCACTGCCTAGTCAGTTTCACTGTAGGTCTCCTCAAGAGGGAGAGAACGCAAAGGACAAAGGAGCGTTTCAGAAATCCAGAATCCTTCCTTTCAGATACTCTCCTAAGCAAGTCTTTCTAACTTTCTCTCTCAGAACCTATTACTATGCTTCCCCCAAACAAGAAAATACCAACAACATTGTATACTATATTGAGGATTCAAGGGGAAACAACCACAATCATTACTTAGCTTTATGGTTTAAAATATGTCAACTCTTTAGATATGATTTCAAAGTATTTCCCAAGCTATGTTCTGCAGAACACAGAGTATTCAAAGAATAAACAGCTTTCAAGGGCAAAAAATCTTATGAATGCTGACAACATTATTCACTAAAGTAGCTAAGTACAGTCAGCCCTTCTGCCAACCCTCCATGGCAGTGGGTTTCACATCTATGGATTCAGCCAATCGTAAACCAAAAATATTTCAGGGGCAGACACCTATAACAATAATCTACTGAACATGTAGCTTATTTTATTGTTAATTCACTAAAAGGTGCAACGTAGTAGCTATTAACATAGAATTTTATTCTACAGGTATCACATCATCTAAAGATAGTTTAAAGCACATGGCGGGAGGATGAATATAGGTTCATAAAATGATATACATATCATTGTATACAAAGGACTTTGCAACTGAAGATTTGGGTTTCCCTGGGGGTCCTGGAAGCAATCTTCCATAAATACCTGGGCATACTGTGTATGTCCTGCAGAACAATTTTGTTGTTGTTGTTGTTTTTTGAGAAAGGGTTCAAGTACAAGCTTAGCTACAAAAGTTCATATGCTTCAATATACATTGAAAATATCCTGCCTAGATAAATCATCAAGTTTACATTCAACAGTGAAATTCTGAGAGTACTTAAGCCCTTAAACTAATGATATTCAAAAAGTATTTCATTTTGTCTTGAAATATACTTATACCAACTCTGCTGTTGTACACACATATTCAAATACATGCGCACACATACACAATACAACTATTTATCACAGTGAAGCTTAAATGTATATTTACATTATACACAAATATATATTTAAATATATATTTACATGTTATACACACACACATATACACACCATGAAATATACGACACACAAAAATAGGTATATTTACTCTGTGGATTCTTATCTTCTAGCATACAGTCCTTTAAAATGTGGCAAATTTTCAAATAGCACTTCATTATTCAGAAACTTATTACCAAAGTAAGACACCTGGATACTGAGGATTTTGAGGAACAGACCATACTGACCTCCTCTCCAATTTCACTTGTTCTATCAGTTGAGCTTTTTGTGAACTAAATTCCAATCACGAGCCTCCTGGCCTACTTTTACCTTTTATCTCTCCTCACCAAATAATCATAATGTTTAAAACTTCATTATCCACTTTACAGAGAAAATTTATTAAATTACAGTGGCATTACAGTATAATTTCCTTAAAAAGGCATGGTATTAACAGAACTGGCATTTTGTTTTTCCTGTCCCTAAAGAGGCACTGAAATATGGCTCATCAAAAGTCTGATAAAACACCATCAACTAGCATCATTTACCTTGGCATTAAACAAGGCTCTCTATGTATGCCTCATTGTGGTAACAAAAAAGACTGAAGCAATATAATGGAACCTACACTTTACTGGGGTCTGTATCACAAGAAACAAAAATATTTAAGGGTTTCAAACTATCTCTAACATTGCTAGTATTTCCATTATCAATGTCAGGTATAGAAACTGAAACAGATCAGGCTGATTTTGCTTATCAGTTACAGTATCTAGTCTTGTAATTTACTATGGATTTCAAACTACTTTTAGAATAATCCTTTGGTTGCCAAAGGTCGATAAGGCAAATTCTTTGCATCCAATACAAGTTCGGACACCTCTAGCCTAAACCAGCAGAATCTCAACTCCACCTAGAGGGAATATTACTCGTCAGTAGGTTTTCCCAATGCAGGTGTTTAACACGTATAAGCAATGGTAAGCTATTTAAGAATCCTAAGGCCATCCCTGCCAAGTTCGGGATGTGGTAAGTGAGATGAGAATGAGGTAGATTTCGAGAGAGGTCAGGCTAGTGAGAGCCTGGGAAAGATCTGTCAGATTGATGGAAAATACAGAGGATGAAAACTGGAAACTAGTCAGTGAAATTAACAGTGGGTCTCAGAGTTCAGAGCGATTTAAAGTCCAACAGGTGTGCTGAGCATGCGCCCAGGGCTGAGGACCCAGGCAGCAGCGCAGTGCAGCTTTGCCAAGACAGCCAGGGAGGAAGCATGCAGGCGGGGGACAGTCGGAGCAGCTCGTCCCGCCTCTTCCGGTGGCCGGGGCGCCGACCCGCCCACGCGGCTCCCCCAGAAGCCATTCCCGAGGTGCCTACAGCGGCCGAGTCAGGGCCTAGCCTAGCCCGGGAGGAGGGAGATGGATCCCCTCCTCATTACCTGATCAGGGCCGCGACCCTCATGCTGGGTGCAGTGCGCGTGCGTGCGGCAGGCGCGGACGCCAGGCCCGGGCCCCGTAACCGTTCCAGTGACGCGCGCGGGTCCTCGCCCGGGTGTCTGCTGCGCTGCCTGTCCGCAACCATCCTCCTGCCCCTTCAGCACCTTGCTGAACAAACGGGCGTCCAGGGTAGGCAATCTCGGCACCTGTTACCCGCTACATGAATGCACTGACCAAGGGGGGGGGGGGTTTAGGCACAGCCTAACCACCTAAGTAAGGGCAGTGAAGCTGCTGGGGGAAGGGCAAGGTCCTTATTAAGCCCTTTGAGGGTCTGAATTTGACTGGGACGTAAATCACAAGCGCTGAGTTTTGAAACACTGCCCCTGCAAGGGAACTTAGACTCTCTCGTTTCTTGAAGAAACCATTAATACTTGAACACTTTTATCTTTGAGACTTCCATTTCTGTCCTGCGAACCAGTGAGGCTGCGTGGTCTAGGCCTCCAGTACTGTTTTTTTTTTTAGCATTTTCCCAGTACAAATACTAAGAAACTTGCACTCCATTAACCAGAAAGAAAATCTAATTTCCAATACATTGTTCAGTACTTACTCAGTGTCATGAAAGTACTAATAATCACTGGGGCTCCTGGAATCAAATGGTGCTGCCCAGATCAACCTCCCTACCTACACCCCTGAGCACAGAGTTTGTGTAGGGCTGAAGAACACAGGTGATACACTGTATAGTTTCAAAGGGGAGTCATATGTTAAAAAGTGGAAAATATTGGACAGTCACACACAGACACGAGAGAGAGAGAGAGAGAGAGAGACAGAGAGAGAGAGAGAGAGAGGATAAAGACAGAGAGAGATCTAGTGAATTCCCAAAATCCATTTCTCCAATGTAGCCATGCTGAATAAATCTCGCTTTCTGATTTCGACTTTAACTTGCCTCTTTTAATTGGATTTTAATTAAAGACTGGTGGAAGGACATGACTTGGGGCACAGGTTGTGATCCTCAAGTTTGTAGCAGAAGAACAAAGCAGATTACTGTATCTGAAGAAGACTGACAGAGAGAATAATGGAAGATGAAGTCAGGTGGTGGAGAGGAACGATCATGTAAGGTACTGTAGGCCATTTCAGACTTTATAACAGAGGATGGTTGGAAGTTCTGGTTAGGACTACAGGTTTTATAATACAACAATGTTGAAAACACATCTATTAGAAAAAACCTATTTTAATGATACAGGAGAGATGATGGGACCTAAAAACAAGATGATGGATTTGATGAGAAATGAAAAGATTACAGTTCTGTTGTAAAAACAGAGCCAATATAATTGAGCAGACAGATATAGGGTACTAAGGAAAGTCATGAGAAATTAGAACAGTGTCATGAACTAAGTAAAGGTGAAATGTTCAAGACTCCTCAAATTGTGTTAGAAACACATACGCATTCAGGTTTGTTATACTACAGTGTTTTAATTGGCGCCAGAGAGTTGGCATGGGTCACTATGGCACTGATAATCTCCACATGAGTATGAGTATTTAAAAACGTGTGTGCTAAAATTTTGTGATTGTAGTTATTTACCAAGTCAGTTAACTATGTGAGATGTTGGTGCCTGGTTAGAGAGAAAACATACTAATTAAATATTCACAGTAGAGTATATTGAATTTTGAAAATAACAGTTCATGCAATACATATGGCAAGGTCACTGGGAGTTGACCCTATTGGACTGAAAGATAGTTAGAATAGGATAGGACTTGAGAGATTAGGACAGAAGAAGCAGCTGCATCTGGAGACAAAACCATCAGAAGGTTAGCCTTGCTATTGGCTGTGCTATGTTGATGAGAGGGCAAAATAAACTGGATGGCAGGGTCATATCCAGTTACCAGTAAGAAATACTGCAGCTTCAGGAATAGCGCCCTGGCTATTTATCGTTGCTTTTAGAAGGTTGTGAGGATGATCAGTAATTAACACGTTGAGGTTTTGATGAAATAAATGGAAAGTTCCCCAGAAAGATTTGTTTTATATTTTGTAGTATTAAAAAATGTACCATTTTTCAAGAAGTATAAGCAAATTACTTTTACTTCTTAAAGCTACATATTAAGGATTATGTTTTGCTTCTCACTGGTAGCCTCATGGTTTGATAGGCTTAACAAAAATATTCAGTATAGTGTGTATATACTGAGGTTTAGCTATAAATAAGACGAATATATATTGAAGTAAAATATATTTTGCCAAGGTCAACCAGATTTTAGAGGCGTCCCCAGAATCTTCCTACCTCCTTTATATTATCCTTTGCATTGTCCTTTTAACCCCTTGAGATTTGTTTCTTAATGTTGTGTCAGCTAATGAACTTTCCTGCTTGATCTAGTATAGCAGTACTTCATGTATTGTCTCTTCTTAGAGACCTTTATTCTAAGCCCAAGTTGTCTATTACAAGACCCGCAAAGTGAGCTATGGCGGCTTAGCTCTAGTATCTCATTTGCACTTGGAGAACAGTTCAGGGAACATTTGATCTGCTGTCATCTTTGTAGTGGATCCCACAGCGGCTAGAGACTCTGAAACCCTTTATCAAAATGGTGGTGACATAGCTGTTCTTTGGGGTCTGCAATCTTGCCTAGGACATAAACATGGAAGCTAATTGGAGAAATGACAGCCCTTGACATGCAGTGAACCTCAGTCCTTGCTGGTACGTGCACTACTTTCTGTCCACTCCATATTCCCTTTATGCTCAGCAACCACATAAGCATGTATGCCTTACTGCTTTACCTGTCGTTCCTAATGGATCACAGTCATTGCGCTTTAGCTTTCTTTGCAGTGTGGATCAGCTACATATGTCATTTCACAGGTACAGTTGGACAAGGGAACCAAGTGGATCACCTGCATTCAGTATATGGGTGACCTTATCCCCACTGCATAGAGAGACCTTATTCCTCCACATGATTCATTATCCTAGTCTGAAGGCCCTTGCATACAGGGTACTTAAAGTTTTGACTATGTACTCTGAAGTAAAATGAATCCCTGCTCAGCCCATTTTGTAGATCAAGACCTAGAAATATTTTTTGGCTAAAATTGTGAGAGGCAAGGAACAAAGTTCCCCAGTAGGCCCTTGGCAATTATTATTTTCAACCCTTGGTTCCCAGATATGTGTTTTCTTCCTAATGAGTGTCATATATAGAAATCTTTGGTTTCTCACTATGCCTATGTCTTCAGGCACGACCACCCAGCCTTGCAGATTCTTGTCTGAAGCTACTGATTTATATATGTGACTTCAGTTGACCCAAACAGCACACTATGTACACACAGGTACTGTGCACCAGGCCCAATTCTGTACTTTTCTGTGAAGCAAGGTGTGTGTGTGTGTGTGTGTGTGTGTGTGTGTGTGTGTGTATTCTCTACTCAGTGGAATTCCATGCCTCTAATGGAACTCTACCAATGTTTTAGGATATTTATTATGCCTGGTCAAAGGTTAGGACAAGCTTCAAAATTTAACCTGGATGAGCTCTGTGATGAATCCGAAGGTTGTCATCTGGTGGTTTCCGCCTGTGGTTTTAGTAACTGATGTTAAAATAGCTCTTGAGTTCCTCTCTTCCATGCCTGCCACAGTGAAACAGAATGATTCCCCAAACCACATGAGAAGGAGCAGGAAATTTAGACTCTCACATTGTGCTCTGTTCCAGCAAGAAACGTACAGAGAAGAGTTTATTCAAACCAAGAATAGTATTTGAAGGAGAGCCAACCTCAATTTGTGAGAGTCTAACTCAAAAACAACAGTATTTTCAAGGAAATGCTTTAGTTTACTCCCAAACACATGCACTAATGTTGATCAAACTAAATCAAACTAACATACTAATAGTGGATCCTGGCAACATGTTTCTAAAAACTCTCCTAAGTTAATAGCGGAAACTTATTTTTAACTGCTATCCATTTGCCTATACATAATTTGCTCAAATTTCAAGAACATTTGATTTAGCAAGAACCCTATATGCATAGCTTTCCATGCAGATGCCATATCGATAACTTTAACCCAGTAAATGTCAACAAGTTAAAAGGTTTCCTTTCGGTATAGCCGACTTTATTTTGTAATTCACGGAGCTGTTTTCCCAGAGATCCACCTTTCAAATGCACTGTGAGTTTGTGCTCTGCAGTCTAAAGCTATTCCATACAAATGAATACCGCTTCGCTCGGAGGGCCAACAAGACAGGTGAACAGAAAACTTGCCCCAGAAAGCTCAGTCCTTTGCCAGTTTACTTAAGGAAACTCTCCACAGCCAAACACTGTTGCCGGTAATAAAAGCTTGCAAGCTGTCGCTGAATTCTGCTGCCTTGGCAGTATGTTTCTCGGATGCACTGATTGATAAAGACTCCGATAATCACATCAAGAGATGCTACAGGTAGTTATTCCTCAGCAGCCCAGAGAAGTGGTATCTCCCCTGAAATATGAAACAGGAAGCCGTCAGAATACCACAGGGCTACTTATTTTTAAGACGAAAGTAATAGGTTGGAGGCAGAGCACCAGCCTAGCATGAACAAGAACCTGAGCATCCAGGAGAAAAGAAATAATTATGTAAAGTTTAATTGTAAAGACATACACATGGGAATGTATGTAACTATGTTTTCTGTTATATTGCATATGCATATATATACATAAACATATGTGTTACAGTTTACTGTAGGCCTATAACTCATTGAAACCTCACAGCACACGTATGGGTTAAGAGTCACTGTGTTCATTACTTATAAGTGAAAAAGTTGTGCATCCTTGTATAAGTCCTGCAGATAATAAGTATAAAAACAGGATCAAAATCCAGATGGGATAGCCCTTGACTACCATACTATAATTTTCCATTCAAATGGGCGGCTGGTTAGTTGCCTAAAATCCCTACATGTTCTGAGAGATACATGTGGAAATTCGATTTCTTCATTGACCTCCAGAATCTCTCCAAATAAGCAACGTTTTTGAGTGGTAGACTTAGATTTTTTATATTGTATTAGCTGATGTGTTATATTAGATTGCATATGATACCTACCAGGCACCAAACATTGCTAACTCTGGGATAAACACGTCCCAAGCTTTCACCCCATCCACAGATGTGTATAACTTAGAAAGGTGCCTGAGGTCTCATTCCTAGGCAACCAGATCCACAGTTGCACTAGGGGATTTATTGGATTGGCATACGTGGCATGGTCTAGGTAGGCCAACAGTGACCATCTTCACATAAGAGAGGCCAAGAGCCTATAGCTGCAAAGTTCACCAGCACGATGTCACAGCAATACCAATCTGAAGCTGAAGACCTGCACAATTCCTAGAGAATTACTGGTCAATGTTCCCCACTGGGAGGCCAAAGTAGCTGAGTTCTGATGTTAGTGAAGAGTGAAGACAGGTGCAACATAGACAGTATGAACTTGTGCCTTGTGAAGTATCGTATTCCAACATGAAGAAAAGAGGAAAAGTGTAGCTGTCATTTACCCTTGGGAGATCATTAAAAAATCAAATTGCTGCATTGTTGGCATACATGAAAGGGAAGAAATGATAATTAAGGAAATGTTTCTGATCTTGGGAACTAAATGGATGCCCATGACTGTAGAACTCCAAACAGACATGAACAGAGAAGATCCTCAGCAAAACTTTAATAGTCCGAATCTTAAAAGTGCACAGGAATGAATTCTTCAGTATCCTAGAGAAACATACTAAGTGAAGTTTAAGGAAAATCCCTTGAGACTAAGAGCAGATTTCTGAGAAGAAATTTTACAGACTTAGGCAACATGGAAGTGTGATTTTCAAACCTGAAGAAAGAGCCAATCTGAAAACCATTATTAGCACACCTAACAAAGTTATAATTTGGAGTTGAAGGACACGTGCACTCATGCATGGGCATGAGCACACATGTACACACACACACACAAAATCTTGGAAATTAGGCGGTGGTGGTGCACACCTTAATTCCAGCACTTGGGAGACAGAGACGGGGAAATCTCTGTGAGTTTGAGACTAGCATGGTCTACAGAGCTAGTTCCAGGAGAGCTATGGCTGTTACACAGAAAAATCCTGTTTTAAAAAACCAAATGAATGAATGAATGAACAAGTAATGAATCTTCCAAAATATAAGGGAAATCTATATCACTCCACAAAAGATACTTAAGGGAATTCTCTACCTAGAAGCTGAAGAAAGGCAATTACCATCAGGATGACATGTGAAAACATAAATCCCACTAGGAGAGTAAACATGGTGAGGATGGATGGGTCTGGGCTTAATATTTCCAGATTTTGGGCTTCCTAGTTAAGAATGAAACAGAAACACACAACAGAGAGTAGCAAGGAAGCGTAATTCAAAACAAATCTACGGAATGGTTCAGAATATAGTGTAAGAGTATCATTCCACCTGAATGAAGGTGAATGAAGGCGCTCAAGGACTTTTACCATTGTTTAGTCTTCCTGTTGCAGGGTTCAAGAAAAGGAGGAGTTGGTTATTAGGAGAGAGGTTTTTGCCTTAGTGCCAGTCTAGGTCACAAGTTCATGGCACGTGGTTCCTAGATTGTGTTCCTGGTTATTTTGAATAAAGGGGAAGCCTTCATGAAGGGATTACTAAAGGGAATAACTTATTTCCATTGTTTAAGGAAGCTATTCTTATGCATTGCCATAAGTAATAGTGAATAATTTTGTTCTGTTCTGTTCTTTGACTAAAAGGGGTACTTTAAGGGGAGGGGAGAGGCAGGAAGGGGAGCAGAGAAAAATGTAGAGTTCAATAAATTCAATAAAAAAGAAGAGATACTTTAGTTTTTTCTTGTTCAGTATGCTATTGGCTTTGGATTTGATACATTTATTAACCGATTTTCTACCTCTATTGAGATATACTTTTACCCCTTATTCTATTTATGTGATGTGTTATGTTTATAAATTAGCATATGTTGAACAAGACTTGCATGCCTGAAACTAAACCAAGTTGATCACTATATGAGATCTTTAATAAGTTATTAAGTTTGTTTTGTAATTTCCAACACAGAGATCTTCATATCACTCTTGAATAGAATGTTGTATGAGTGTCTCTAAGGTCTACTTAATGATTATTTCTTGATTTTGATTTTTTTTTGGTCCAGGTATATATTAAGTCTAATCTCCTACCTCTTGAAAGAAACAACTCACAATGGATCAAAACTTTAACATAAGACCTGAAACTACTGGAGGGAAATAAAAGGAAGCTACTTCAAGATGTTGGTACAGGCAATGATTCACTCTTTCTGGGAATGTAAATTAGTATAATGTCTATGAAAATTATGGAACTTCTTCAGAAGAGTAAAAATAGAATTACAGTCAGCCCCAGCTGTCCTACTCTTGGGCATCAGATGAAGAAAAGAAGTCAGCATACAAAAGAGATGATTGCATGTTCATGTTTGCTGCAACATTATTCACAATATCTAAAATACACAATTAGCCTAATATGTGTGGCTGAAGCAAATATGGTGGAAATATTTTGTGGAATATTTGGCACTAAAGAAAAATGAAGTCTTCCCATTTGCAGCAAAATGGAAAAAAATATGAACATTGTGTTAAGCAAAATTAACCAGAGACAGACAACTGCCATATGTTCCCTTTCATAGGTAGAAACATTACAAAAAATCTGAAAGTAGAATTGGGATTATTACTAGGTACTGGGAAGGGTGCCATGGCTTGGCAATAGAAGGTAGATGGATATGATAAAGACACATTATATATAGTACATCCTGTGATTTTCAGAACTTTTTAAAGTTCTGATTTAAACCACTCTATAACAGACTACCAAGGACTTCCATATTCATGGAAGACTCATTAATAAAACAGAATGTACTATGTAAGCCAGTCCATTCTTTGCCAGTAGGAAAGCCCAAATTGGAAATATAGCTCCTTCCTTCATCAAACCTTTGCTAGATAAATTAGAGCCAAAATGAGATACATGTGCTCCTGTGAGAAGTGCAGTGCTGTGTGGGCAAGGATATTCACCAGATGGAGCTGTAATTCATTATTACTAGATATGCAAAAATGATACAGCCTCTTTGACACATAGTATTATCTCACCTTATATAGTGTAAGCACATTGTTTCCTATGACTCAGTAATTCTATTCATAGATGTTCATTCCAGAGAAATGAACACACTTGTCCTTGCAAAATATGTTTGTGAGTGATAGCATCATTGCTGAAATTTCTACCACTTGGTGGCTGAATAAAAAAAATTGTGGTCTATGCATAACCATAGAATTCTGACTAGCAATATGCATAACATAATATATGAAGTTCAAAATTACACTACTAAACAGAATCAAACACAAGCACTTTGCTTTATATGATTATGTTTATATAAAGTATTAGAAAAGGCAAAATTCCAGTGATAGAAAGGAGATCAATATACTTAGGGTCAAGATACAGGAGATAATCAACACACAAGGTCCTTTCAAAGACAGATGTGTGAAAAACCTTCCTTTCTGTGAGGAACTTCGATAGTAGTAGTGGTACCATGCTTTGCAATCGACAGACGGCAGCAAACTTGTGCTTGAAATTAGAGAATTGTATTAAATGAAATTAACAACACATTAAGAAAACAATTATTTTGTGAGGATAAAATCAGTTTCAGTTGTCCAATAAATAGTGTCACTCCATCTGTTCTCTTTTTAGTATGTTCACAGATTATGTTAGACTTTGAATGAGATCATTATACCTACCAACATTGGAGGAGCATCCATTTTTTTCTGATTCTTTGTCCCAAGCGAGAGGAGTTTGAGAATTTCTGTATCTAAAATGTTTTAAATATGGAGGAAATGATGCTTATTCCAGACTCTATTCTTATATCAAGCACACGTTTAGTTAACTATGAATGTCTTTGAAAGAAATTTTGGTAATTATTTGGGACTGTAAAATATAAATCTTCCCAAGCTATCTTTAATGACACTTAATTTTCAATCACTGTGTATCAGATGCTCATTAGTTATGAATGTTTGAAAGTAAATTTGCATCCAATAATGATATCACCAGTACTGTAGTATATAAAACACTACCTTAATTTCTTCAACATTGTGTTCTTATTCTCTCTCAGAAAAGGTAATATGAAGGATCCTGTTCCTTATTTTGTTCCCAAATTGTGGCACTCTATTATTTGAAGCCTTTACCTACCTGTAATATTTTATTCATAATGTTTATTCAGTAACTTAAAGTATAATTAAAATTTTGTTTTCCTACCATGTCTCCATTATAGACATTTGATTGTATCAAAGACTATATATATGTTTTAACCTCTTCTTTCATTTATATATTTCATATATATATTGGGCTGTATTTTGTTAGTGTTGGCACTGGGAACAGAACCCATATTTCATCATTTTTAAGCTGGATTATAAACTTCAGAATCACATATCTATTATTTGGTTTCTTTTTTTCATTTAAAAAACAAGCAGCAAGATGTTCAGCATGTTAAAGCATGTGATTCCTAGTGGATGGAGAGAACCAGCTTCCTCAAGTTTGTCCGCTGACTGCCACAAAGTACTGTAGGATATACACAGAGACATGCACACACACACACACACACACACACACACACACACACACACACACACAAAGAATGAATGACTCAAAGAATGAAGAAATTGAAGGCTGTATAAAATGAGTATAAAACATGACAATATTGGCTCAGTGTACACAACGTTTTGTTGTTCAAACATTGTTCAAACACATAATGGTCCAAGCTCTAGAACAATCATTTCAAACTGATGGACTATAGCTTTGATAATATTCAAAGCATTATGCGTGCCATGAACATCTACCATCTCCTTCTTCATTTAAAATGGATACCCTGCAGTTATTCAATGCAATATCTCCTGGCTCTTATAAAAGCTCACTAACAGCTTCCATTCCTTAGCTGTGTTTCTGAGAAATGAGATCATTTCAAAAGTCCACCAAAATAAAATCTAGGAACCAATTCAATGGCAATAGGCATATTTGAATAAATTTATTTAAATAGAAAACTCGTTTATATTCAAAGTAGATCAATTTTCAAGAAAAATTGGAAAAGCTCATGAGAAGAAAAGTTATCCACAGTCGCTTTTTTATTGTGGTTATTGTAATACGTTAATGAGTAAACATAATAGTCATGGTCATTTCCTACTTTTTTATAGAATCAATAAGCTTTCCCTATATTAACTTTGTGCTTTCTTTAGAACCAGATCGATTAAAATTGTAATTTTTTGCAGTGTTTATTTTGAACTATTTGTAGACAGGATTCTAATAATGACTTTTCATTTCTTTGTATGTGAGTATGTGCACAAGCTCATAGAATATGTGGCATTTGAGAAATAAGCAAGTTATCAAGTGATAGAAAATACATCATTAATTTGAAGTATTAAATTGATTTAAAATATAAAGCATGAATCAGTTTTTCTGTTGTACACCTGTAACCCCAAAACTTTGGAGGCTGAGACATGAGAGTCCACATGAGTTCAAGGTCATTCTGAGCTACAGAGTGAGAGCTTGTCTCAACAGTTCCCAATGCATAGCAATATATAAGTAATTAAATTGAATTGAAAGCATGAAAGGTAGGGCCTGAAGCAAAAAATACTATATAAAAATTTAAAAATAGATAATACTATATAAAATCAAGATAATAGAGTAATTTGGTTATATAGTATACAAATAATTTTTAAACTGTTACTTCACAATTTATATTGATATTACAGGAATTTAAAAAGCCATCTTCAAAGCCAGGGCTGGAGCTAAATAATAGAATAATTGCCTAACATGTGCAAGGCCCCAATGAGTAATCTTGAGTATCACAAAATAAAAAGACCATCTTCTATGTATCCTCATGAATCTGCTTTAAATTTTCTACATTTTATTATACACATGAATGTTATCATGATTCTTATATAGGCTGATACAATTTTGCATTCTAACTTTAAAAAATAGTAAGTGTTTTATAGATAAAATTTTCTTTGTAAAATTTAAGTGGAGATTAATTGGCTATTATTAATTTGCTTCAACTATTCATGGTAAAAATAAAGAAGCTCATTATTATAAAATATCTGTATATTCTTGTTTAAGTGCAAAGTAGTTGTAGAGTTTAATAAAGAACAGGGAAAACAATTTCATTTTTCAAGTTTCTTAATTACATTTATTTACAGTCTTTGTTACGAGCATACAGAGGATTCTCTTTACCAAAATATAAATGCACGTATAGTTGTTTCTTTACTCCCGATCACCTGATCTTTCACACTAAAAACCATCCTTCCTGGATGCCATAATATAGATCAGATGCCCTTTTGTACTTCTCAGTCACGCGTAATAAATTATTTGTGTTCTTAAATAATCATCAATTTCTTGAACACAAAATCTTAGTACTACTATGTCATTCAAATTGATTGAAATGAGATAGGATTTGAAGGCTACCCAATAAAGGAATTTTTATAGAGTTGCATGCATGTTTAAGGACTTATTAGGAAGGTTAGGATACTTGGGAACTATTAATACTTGGAAGACTGTAGCAATCTAGGTCCAAATGGAGCAAGGGAAAAATGGAGTCTTTGAACATGTTTAGAGGTTGGAGTAATGAAAGCAGGGAATTTGATAGAGGCTCTATTTATGGAAGGTCATAGCCATTGTCATAAGAGTACATCAACAAATGGAGATTGCAGCAGAAGAAATACCCTGATGTCTTTTCCATCTGCCATCCTCCCTCCTGCCAGGGCCTGCCATTGGCTTCAAGTCAGTGGATAAATGAGCTAGTTGGTCTAATTCACAGAGATCAAGCTGTTTGGGGCACAGAGCAAGGAAAAGGATGAAGGAACAGTTTCTTGAGAGTATAAGAAATCACATATGCCTTATATTTAATTTACTCATTGTCTGCCTGATGTAATGGGGCATAGTAGAAAATATTTATTGGCCAAAAGAATACATTGCATGTGTACTAAAGCAAACTAATCCAGAAGCTAAGTTCAGGCTATACTTCCTTTCACTAAGAAAGTATTTAACTTTAACAAGTTGTCTTATTACTAAATATGGTTGGAAAAACCTTTTACTGTTTACATTAAGTAGTTCACAAACCACTTTCTGAATTCCTATGAAGAACATTAAGAACTGAAGTAATTTGGGAACGATGTGGGAGGGATCATATTTGGACACAACAAAATGAAATGACTCATGTGAAAGTTGGTTGGGAAGATGAGATGAATCATAAAATATTTCCTGGCATGGCATAATCAAGATTTAGTCAGACTATACGTGGTCTAGCATCGGTGAGTGTCAATTGGAGCAAACCCCCAGGAGAAGATTGAAAAGACTGTTGGAGGCGCTTATACTCTTTGTTATGTTTTTATTAATATAAAATCTAAACTTTGTCTCTTAAACCAAATTTTCTATGAATATTTTAAGCAGAAAACCTTACTCTGAGGTCTACGCTTAGATTTCACAGTCTTACACTAAAGTATGAGTATTTGTTGAACAGAGGAGACAGACTAAGATATGGTTTAGAGCCATTTGAACAGGCACAGGCATAGTAGTTGAGCCTAACCACCTATAGCCTTCAATTCCCTGGAGCCCACCTTCAGAATCAAACAGTTTTCTTTCTTAGCTATCTTTGTTACTAAGTAATGAATGTTATGCTGGGGAATTAATGTTAGCACTTAAATTTTTGGAAAGAATGTAAATAAATAAATCATTCTGTGACTATTGCCCTCCTGATAAGACTTTTTGTCAGATTTTACATTTGACAAGTACTTTTCTCTATCATGCTAAAGGTGATGGATATATACACTGGGGCAACATTGTGGCTTGTTCTGCTTATTCTATCTTATATTAGTTATTTCTTGCTTTATAACAGATCAAACCCACTCTAGCTCTGTTTCTGTGAGTTAAGAGCTTGGCTGGACTTAGGCAGGTGTCCTGACACAAGTTCTTTTATAGAACTGAAACATCAAAGACTTGATTAATAAGAGATCTAACTCCAAGTTCACTCACCTAAGAATGGAGTCTGTTTCTCATGGAGCATTAGACTGCGGGTCTGAATTCATTGCTAGACTGGATAGTGTTGTCGTGATCACGCACATGGCAATCTAGCTGGCTTCTACAAGAGTTGGTAAATGAGTGAACAAGAGAAAATGTCCAAAATGGGTGTCAGTAATGACCTCTCTTGACATTTTCTGTTCCTAAGTGTATTCTATCCAGCTCTCTCTCCAAGTCACATGAGGGAATGGATCTTAGCAGATGCCACTGGGAACTCACTCAGAGGCTGCCTCTCTTCTCTGACTCCCATTTCACCCTATCCATTTCTATGATTAGGATTCCATCTAGATTGCAACATTCACCCCTGCCCCTCTGGTTTTCTATTGGATTTCGCTAATGGGTGACTTAGACAGAAGGAAGAAAAACAAAATAAACGAAAAGAAATCAGAATATTTATTTCCGGTCTTCCTTTCTGTCTTACACAGTGGTCTGTAATGGCTATGATGTGAATGCAGCTTCTGCCCCAGGGCCTTATTTCCACAGCTTCAGCCCTCACTGAGTCCGACAAGCACTGATGCCACCATTCCCCTTCATACTTCACTTCCTGGAGTAGGGATGGCTCTATAGTCTAGATTTTCCAGTGCTTGTGTGCATTCCCATCCTATTATGGTTTGAATGAGGATGTCCCTCATAGGCTTGGATATTTGAATACTTGGTCCTCAGTTGGTGGCACTGATTGGGGAGGTTTAGAAGGTGAGGCCTTGCTAGAGGATGTATGACCTTGCTCCATTTCCGGTTCCATCGCTTCCTACATGCTCCCAGAAATATGATCTCTCAGCTTTGCGTTCTGCCACTCACTTCCGTGTTCCATACTCTCCCATTCTGGACTCTTCTTTGGAAACATAAACCAAAATAAACTTTTTTCCCCCTTGAATTGCTTTGGGTCATATTTTATTGCAGCAACAAAATGCTAACTAATCTATGCCTCTTCATGTTTCTTCGGCACTACCTACACTGCTGTGGTTTGAAGGAAAATGGTTCCCAAAGGGAGTGGCACTATTAGGAGGTATGACATTCTTGGAGGAAGTGTGTCACTGTGGAGGTAGACTTTCAGGTCTCATTTATGCTCAAGCCATGCCCGGTGAGACAGTTCATTTCCTGTTGCCTTTGAATCAAGATGTAAACTCTCCACCCCTTCTCTAGCACCACATCTGCCTGCACGCTGCCTTGCTTCCCACCATGACAGTAA